TGTACAACATGTTATTATCAATGTTTGCAAGTTAAAAATCATCTCAAGTACTGCAATACCCCCCCGGACACCAAGGGGTCCACGCACCTCTCGTTGGGAAACACTGGACTAACGATTGACAACCCTAGAGAAAGGCAAACACGCGGCCATATGACTGGTATCGCAGGGGTAATTTGTGGAAGTGGGCTAATATTTGTGGCTTATGGACTCTGCTGGCTTTATCGCAGCCTCCCACTGTGAACTACTGTTCCGTTTACTGCAGATGTGTTTTCTGTTTGGTTAAAGGGGCCTCAGAGGTTTTGATATTTTTATTACCTCTCGTGGGTCGTGCGAGTCCGCCACCCAGCAGACCCCCGAAACCCACCACGGCTTCAACACAGGAATACTTTTGTGGGAAGGACTGAGGGGAACTGTCTGGACGTCACACTGAGCTGCACTTGAGGATAATTTAAAAGCCCCCGTTGGATCCTTTCCCTCTTCGTGTGCTTTTTTCCTGTCATCCTCATCCTGGATTTCTATGCTGAATCAATATTTTGTTGCTTGAGAAAAATAAACCAAAAATCCACTTTCTCCTGTTTGTCGTGTGTTGAATCGAAATTCTTCCTGGTGTTTTTCTAGTCACATTTTCAGGGTGAATTATTCTAGCCTCTGCAAATATTTCTAATTCAATCATCCATTTGTGGGGGAGAAAAAGAGCCTAGGAAAGAATAATACCCTCTTCCCTCTGCTAGAGTGTTGTGTATCGGCTTGAATCGTGGAGACTGGAGGGAAAAAAGGAGCATGGGAGGTTTCTCTCCCAAAATAAAAAAGAAATGCAGCTTTAAATGAGGCGTCGCGTCTCTGTGGTTTAAAGGACAAAGCTGCTGTGATCTCTTTTGGAGCTAAAGATTGTTTGGAAAAAAATGTAGGTCTGTGTCAACGTTGTCCGTCATTGCTGCATATGTTTTTTACAGAAGTGGAAGAAACCAAAAACACTTTCAATTGTTATGGTCAACTGGGGCGGCACAATTAATCGCAATCGAATCAAAATCACAACTTTTAATGGCTGCTAACAGGTTGAGGAAGACTTTTGCCAATTTTGAAGATTTGTCAAAGAAAAAAGCAAGTATCTTTTGTTTTCATATGTAAACATTTCCAGCAGCATATTAAACCGTCTGAGCACTAAAGTTGTGGTTGGAGATATCTGAAACCAAATTTTTTTTCCTGATCAGTTGTAATGTTCCGGATGCAGAATATAACAAAATATATTGTTTGTTACTTTAGTAAACTATAGTGGACTAAAGTGGAAAACAATATTAAGTGTGACCCTGACACACAAACATGTCAAAAACACAAGACGCTTAACTTCTCAAAAACAGGAGGAGTTAGTGCCACAGGGTCCAAATGTCAAAGACGTATGTAAAATCAGGTGCTCTTCAGGATAAGAAATAGCATGGCTGAAACAAAGATACCCTTTTCTGTGGAAAAGGGAAAAATCCGAGGCACTCTGATAAAAAGTCCTTTAATTAGGGAAAGAGACCAACACGCTTCTTCAGGGCAGTGTAAAAAAGTCAAAAACACATACAAAATGATGTCTTCTTACGCAAATCTGCACTGATGATCAGAAAGTGCTTACAGAGTACATGAGTACAAATTTCATTTCCAGAAATCTAAGGAGAACAGCGCTTTCTCCTGACATCCTGAATTTTCTGTGAACGTGGTAATTAATGAAACCTTTTTAAACTTTCAGGCCTGTGAAGGCCTGAAAGCTATACAAAAAAAGCTGACTTAGACATTGACATAAATGGTAACTTGAGACACTCACAAACCACTCATTCACACCAGAGACTAGGGCTACACAATACTGGAAATAAATGTGATAGTGGTATCAGGACTGCATTAACAGTCTATATTTCAATGAAGTATTTAAACTAAGACATTTAAATTGTATAAACCAACAAAGATATTGCAAAATACTGTAATACTGTATCACATCAACCTTAACTTGCCTTTAAATAAAAATAACTGATGATTATTACATTAAAGTGATAGTCTGTAACTCTAAATGAATTACAGATTTTAGGAAATGTGTTAAATTGACCTCCTGGCCTTAAATGTTGATGTAAAATAAGTCATTTTATGAATTCTAATATTACGGGCAAGTAATTCTCTTACTCTTCCCTTCTCTTAGCTATAGCTCAGAATCCACGGTGCCGTCGAAGTTAACCAATCGAGTGATGCCAAGGGCTGTCAATCATCGGCGCTGATGCTCGTAGCTGCTCATGCTCAGTTGTTTGTTTTCACGGAGCCTCCGAATCAAGCCTCCATTAGGCTCTGAAACTACATGAAAACTGAACAAAGAATTCTGAACATCTGCGCTGAGCTACCCATTTATAAACTGAACCTATATCCATAATCATTTATATACTGAACCAATATCCATAATCATTTATATACTGAACCTATATCCATAATCATTTATATACTGAACCTATATCCATAATCATTTATATACTGAACCTATATCCAAAATCATTTATATACTGAACCTATATCCATAATCATTTATATACTGAACCTATATCCATAATCATTTATAAACTGAACCTATATCCATAATCATTTATAAACTGAACCTATATCCATAATCATTTATATACTGAACCTATATCCATAATCATTTATATACTGAACCTATATCCATAATCAGATCCTCTGCAGATGTGTCCTATAATATTCAATTCATGATAATAGCTTGTTCCGGGTTTGCCGCGATCGCTTTTTTGTGCATAAAAACATTATTTTTTTCATTACAACTTTAACAAATAATTCTGAAAACCTGCGTGCATGTGTATTAATAATGTGCATGTATAATGTGTTCTCTGATTAACATTTAAAAGTGTTACGGAAACGTAGGTGTAGACCAATCAGAAAGGAAGGGGGAGGGAGCTTGCATAGTTTTTTTCAAATCAAGTACCTCTCTGTCTCTCTTTCTGACAAACTCCAGACAATCACTTTAAAGGGTAGTATTAAAAAAAATTGCGATTATGATGTTTTTTTAGACATATTGTGCAGCTTGGTTTGTGGGAGCTAATATCCCGCCTGCTAACCTGAAAGTAATATTTATCAAGAGGTTCAGAAACAAAGATGTTGCTGTTCATGGATTTGATTGCTATGACAACGGACAATTCCCACTTTGAAACCCATTTAGTTGTTGCTATTTAAAATGGATGCCGCTCCAACAACAGAGAAGGACAGAAAAGGCCAGAGACTATACTAGCACAATCACGAGGCAGGATTCAGAAGAGGACAGGAAAGATGCCAGGGAGGACCAGGGTTGGAAAAGCTGGTAATGAAATAATCCCTTTAAATAAGATAAATAGTCACATTTTGCCACAGCACTTAATTGCATTGTTCCACTGTCCTTACGCTGTGGCTTTACCAGCATATTTATTTGTGTCTAGGCAAATCGGATACAAGGATAAAATGTAACAAGGACAGGTTACGAGCAGGGAAACAAGAATAGGTTCTGCAGACTGAAAACAAGCAAGAAGCATGGGCACAACTGGAGCTGGAGACTGTGGTCCTTTTCAAAAGTCCAGAAGCCAAACGGCAGATACCTCCCGAGCTGAAGCCCATCATGAGAGATGGTTGGGTGGGGGTACTGGACAAGAGCTTTTGACTGGTCATGGAGCAGTGACGTTTTGTTAAATGAAAGCAGTAAAAGTTATTTAATGGCTCTAGCTCCGAGATTTAAAAAAATCTGAGCTGCAAGGGCCTCCAGAGCAGAGCATGAAGAACAAAGTCGTCTCAATAAAATACATTTAAAAATCCACAGGAGTTTAGATGGCTTCTATAGGGATTTTAGCCTGTACAGTAGAACACACTAATTAACTAATGTATCTAAGTTAGTGTAAGCCCTCAGTCGTACAGGGATTAGTCAAAGCAAAGGAAGGTTTCTCACCCATCATCTGTACTTCTTAGCAAGTTTTCCCGACGTTTCGTCCTCAAACTAGCGGACTTCTTCAGGGAATGAATTCTCAGACCGCGCGTTGGAGATTTATAACCTTTGGGTGTGGTTAGCCACACCCTAATCCTGATACTAACTCATAAACAATCTAAGGTCTGATGTAGAAGGGAGCAGGTCTAACGACCCTGCTGAGGCTAACGACCCTAACTCCTTAGCATGTCACAGACCTATTGTCTGCTGGGATGCTCAAGTGGAGTGCAGGTCTCACATCTCCTAACTCTGAAGAAGTACGCTGGTTTGAGGACGAAACGTCGGGAAAACTTGCTAAGAAGTACAGATGATGGGTGAGAAACCTTCCTTTGCTCTAATGTATCTAAGCATTATCTAAATCTCTAGACATAAAAATGATGTATTGTATAGTTTAAAATATATGTGTGCATGTTCATCCATCCATCCATCTTCTTCCCCTTAATCCATTTCTGGGTCGGGGGCGTGGCAGAGCTGAACCCAATTCACAGAGCAAAAGCCCCCCTAAGTATGTATGCTTGTATGTATATGCATGTAATTTTAGAAAGTGAAAAAAACGTTACACTATTCTAAATATTTAAAGTTTATTTTTTGCTTCCACAAAAAGTGAATTGAATATTTAAATAAAATGATCACATTTGGGTTCATTTGGGTTATTTCTTTTCTATCAAAAAAGGCACTTTTTCACAACGCTCTCCCATTAGGCAGCCTTCGCACCGTGAGCGAGAGCTGGATTCAACCAGAAGACGATCATTTATTTTTATTAATAACAAAGATAATATTTTTCCTATGATAACCACATTCCCGTGGTGGTAGCATAAGGATTGGACAGGCCAATAGTAATACCCTAGATACCATATATTATCTACTGAATGTATTATGCAATGACAAAGTAGGTCTCTTTTTTCATTTGAAAGGCCAAGAGCAATTATTTAAAGCCAATAATATACATATGTTGAAGGAGACTAAATCAAAAAGCACAGGAATAGACACATAGTAATGTGATAATAGGGGCTCTCCTCACCTGAATTTTGTTTTGACTGTCCACAATCCAGGAGGAGAGCTTGGAGTCTGACGAGCCTGAAATGCCCTTTAGACGGGTGGGGTCAAAGGCCAGGCACATCAGGGGCTCAGGATGAGTTTGGACTTGGCTCAAGATTGAGATGTGAGTTACATCCCACAGCAGGAGGGACCCGTCCTCGTATCCCGCCAGCAACAGAGGGCCACATCCGGAATCCGGCTGAAAATAAATGTAAGATCAAAGCAAAAAGGCTAAGGGTATACTTATTATTATAGTTGTTTCCCCTCAAGTTATTTCTGCATGTTTGAATAAGTTATGTGATCCATGATACGTGGATGATTTGTCATTTTTGGCCCCTAAGGAAGAAAACATGCTGATTGCCAACTTGATTTGAGATCAGAGCGGTGTCTTGAAAAGACACTGCCGTGAAAAGTGACAAAAGACAGAACACAGATCAATCAGGTAGAACTTAACTGCATAAATTTTTTTCTTTTACAACTTAAAACCAACAAAAATATCCACGGTTGTCAAAGAATAGATTATAACTCTACATCAAAAGTTTGTGACAGCCCAACTCAGTATAACAATAAAAAGCGGGAGATCGGACGTGTAGAAAGTGTGACGAGAGCTTTGTGAGAACCACAGACAGCGCAGTGTAACGCTGGGGGCAGGAGGGGCAGAGGGGAGGGGAGAAGAGAGCGAGGAGCAGAGGTTATCTTCCTGGAAGCCCGCGCTGACACTTCCAGAGACGCTGTTGGCTCCATTCATCAGACTGCTGCTCTATCTTCCACACACTCCATTACACTACTGCTCACTTTGCTCCTCATCCATATTACAGTGCTTTGGGCCGCACTGTCGGCAAGTGAAATGCAGGACAGAAGCACTTGCGTTGTATGATCTGAAATATGATCAGAATGTATATAATGTACACTACAATAAAAATAGAATTGATGAAAGTCGCTGGTAAGAGCAGAGAGAAACTAGATATTGTTCAGTCCACCGAAGTAGAGCGTGATAAGTGATGCCAGAAGTCTCAAACTAGCTCAAAACCAGCCCAAAACACCAGCAGGTTTTTGGACATCAGTGCAACAAAAGGTGAACTGATGAAATTAAAAGTTGCATACATCTTTTTATCCCAGGAGGCTAGAAGAAAGACGGAAAAACCCAACGTTCTGAACCAGGATACGGGAAAATGAATGGCAGCCATTTTTCTTCATCACTGGGACTTTTGTAGTTCATCTGTGAAGCCAGAATGAAAGAACATCCTTCCAAAATGACATAAAAAATGAATTATTACGGACTTAAAAAATGTCTTCTTGACCTGTGATGTTGCACATATATTGGAGAATAGTTTGAGCGCACCATCAGGCCGGCATAAAAAGCATTGTGCCATGCAAGCAAAAATATGGGGAAGAAATGTTTTCCATATGTGAAGGGGCCATACTTTCATCAATCAAGTCCTCCTTCTTCTTCTTACTTAAAGCTAGATTTCACTTCTCCCAACTTTAAACAAAATCTAACAAGACTTGTGTATCTCTTCCAAACACATCAGCCGGTACGCACAAAGACAGATTATGGAAACAAATACACATACAGCGCGAATATCGGTGGCTTAACTGCAGCTCAGCCACGTTGGAGGCCCACAGTTTCACTAAGTATAGGACCTCCTTGATTGATGATGTCACAGGGCAGAGGTGAGGGAACCTTGGGCAGACACCTAATTCATTATATCCTCCACAAAAGGGTCTGCCGAGGAGGGCCGCAGCTTCAGGACAGGATACATCAGGAAAATAACAGCCGGAAAGATAAATACAAGGAAGACATGAGGAGAGGGGGGTGAGAACTGTACAGTGTATACAGAGATTTCAAGGCTAATGAGCACAGTTCTACCATACATAGATCAAAGTGAATGTCTTAATAATACTGATCTACTAGAACAGAAATGGGTACTGGATGGCCCAGGTTACGCATATACAATTTTAATGTACATAATATATCTCTTAACATGTTTTGCACACCCTGAGTGATTCTATCTATGCCAAATGAAACATGTAAATTTCTCCATTGTGAGATCAATGAAGTTTATCTTATCTTATCTTACAAAACTCCATAAAAGTAGATCCTCGCTCTCAAATCGTTTTGATTTTATCACTAGTTTTTTACTGCTTTTATCACTGCTTTTTCTACAAGAACAAGTAGCAGCCCTGACTCAGCCAATCAGCTCTCAGTATGAAAAAAGAGTGTGTTTTCTCTAATAAAATAAAGACAGCATAGTGTGGTTTGATTTGTTCACAAAACGTTATTTTAACAAGTTTTTTTCTGCTGGGACAAACAAAACATATTTATGAAACCAGAAACTCCAGCTTTAAAACAGTTGTAGTAAACCAGATCTACCTCAAGCCAAACTATGAATGAATATCTGCCATTTAAAAATCAATGAAACGGTAATGAACTTTGCAGCCAATTACAAGATGAGCATAAAATAAGCGAAGAGCCTGCGTCACATCAAGAGTTCTTTTGTGAGTGATGAAAAGAATCAATAGTTGTTTGTTGACGTGACCAGCTCTTATCCCATCACATAAGGAAGCGATCGGGGCAGTGCTCTTTCCAGGTCCTCTATGATGTCATGGCCACGAGGCACAAGGCGATGAGCTGAGAGTGATGGATATCTGTATAGGAACATTTCCTCTTCCCGCCAGCCTCTGTTCACATTAAAAGCCTTGCACATCATACATCACCACTGTCCCGCTCCAGGCCGACGCTGGGCTCTGACATATGGAGAGACTTTCTGGCCGCCATATTGTTGTGCACTTTCAAATACACCTTACAGATGAAGCCCAGGTTGGACTTTGGGCTGGATGGATAGATACTTTATTGTGAAACTCAGGTGTCCAGCAGCAGAAATACATGCATCCATACAAACATCAATAAACATAAACAGGTGAAACTCAGAAAATCTGGATGTTGTTCAAAAGTCCATTTAATGTTGTAATTCAACTTGTGAAACTATTATATTATAGACTCATCATTACACGCAGAGTGAGCAAAGTAAAGAAAAAGTTATGTTAAGTTATGTCAGAACAAAGGCTTGGCATTTGCCACTTTACATGTCATGAGTCTATATCATATATTGGTTTCACATTAGAATTACAGAAATACATTTTGAACAATACTCTAATTTTACGAGTTTCACCTGTCATTCTAAAAGTTACTTAGAATAGCAGTAAAGTGTACATTTTGAGCTGAGACAGACCTGTTGTCAAGTCTTGTGCCTGAGGGAACAAAAGATCTCTTAAAACGCTCCGTTCGGCAGCGCAGTGAGAGGAGCCTGTTGCTACGGTTACACCTCTGCCCAGCCATAGTGTCATGCATGAGAACCTGTTGATGTGAAGTTGGACACTGCATTTCATCTTTTCCATAAACTCCGGTCAACACGGCCTAAACGCCGACGATCAATCTGTTGGAGAGTCCATCCTGGTAATAGCAGCGGGTAATTGTCTCACGTCTAATCAGCACAAAGAGAAAGTGAGGATTTGAGAAGAGCTTTCGCCTAGATCGTTTGAGAGACAGATTGAGCGCAGGGATGATAGTCTTATGTTCCCTCCTGCAGAGCGCGGAGAGGGAACCAGCAGGGAGCGCGTTGGGCTTTGGAAGAAATCATAAGCCATTTTATGACTGACAAACCGCATGTGTGTAAAACCGCCAGCCTCAGTGTGCGCCCAGTGTTCTCCACAAAGGGCCTCGTCGTTTCATTCTTCTCTCACTGCGCTGATCTTTCTTGTCTTTGAAACAGATGAACAAGAGTGGATCCTTAAAGCGATCAGCCTGAAATGATTTAGCGCTACTTGGGCCTGTCTGCTTTGAAGTCAGACAGATACAGATGCCTGCGCAGTGATGCATGGATGTGATATAATTTATACTGATATAATTGATCATTAAGTTTCCTGGCACTCAACGCTACAACAGCTTGGCTTCATGAATCAACTGATGAAAGGTGGGTGTAACGCTGAAGTCAACGAGGTCTGGGCTAAACAAAAACACGTATCTATCGTCTGTTCAACAAGCAGTAACCTTTTCTGTGGTCGCACTCCGGTTAATTATGTTACTTAGTTTTTATGGCATCAAACTAATAACAGGAAGGCAAGATCTGCGCTACATATGGAGCTTAGAATCAAGGCGTTTATTTTTGTATTGTTACGATCACAAATCTGTCATCGGTAAAGCAGGGCTGTTCTGTTCATGTCTCCAAAAAGGGATAATCATAATTAACTGTAAAACGCTGAACAGTAATAGAACTATTTAAGATAAAATCATCTTCATTGATCTCACAATGGAGAAATTTACATGTTAAATTTGGCAGAGATAGAAACACTCAGAGGGTGAAAAAAGACAGGAAGTGCGCAAACGAGTTTTTCAGTCCTAGTGCAGCTCATTAAAGTCAGATTTTCTTTGACTCTTTTTCTTTTTGCACAGATTTCAGATTTTTTTGCCTTTTGCTTTTGATATCAGTCCTGGACAAAAACATTGTAGTGTCATCAGTGGCAGAAATTGTCCTTAGTATCTAATTATTACTAAAATGAAAAATGTTTGAGCATTGTTGTAGTATCAAAATGAGTAGGAGTTTTTAATGTATAGTATCATCATCATGTCAGTTTGAGTTTAAATTTACACTGTCCATATCCACAACGCTGGATCAACTGCATGAGAATTGAAAACGTTAAAAAACTAAAAAATATTTAAAACAAAAAGATACACATGATTACGACTTCTTGTTCACGGTCGGAAAATTAACCTTGTGGCAAAATTGACATAACAGAAAACAATCTCTTGCTGCAATCCTATTGGATGTACAGCTGCAGGCTGATATATGGCTGTGAACCCCCAGCCCTTCCCAACGCTCTAATTACAGAGTTTGGATTTTCTGCCAGCTGAGAAGAAACAAAGTGGAAAAAATGGTCTGGGACGCACTGAGGAGCGATGAATCATGTGCCACGTATCGTATGCATTTGTTTACCTTTCCTTCATCCTCGTAGTACAACTCTATAGGCCTATCACAATCCACCAGCTGCTACTTGAAATGGTAATTCATAAAAATGTCTGATTAGATAAACTGAATTGTAAATGTCTCCATTGTGAGATCAATAAAGTTTATCTTGGTTATAGCGTTGTGATACATACCTGCCACAGTTTGATGCACATGACCATGCCCAGCTTTGAGTCTGGGACCAAAGTGCAGACAGGTGCTTTACTGGGAAGCTCAACGATCTTGATCTGCAAAAGAATGAGGATTACCAGATCATAGAGTATTGATAATTATTTAAATTTACCATCTAACCTTGTACAAGTGGCTTTTACTTCAAATTTTGATCAACATACAGATTTAATAGTGTTTACTGTCTGGAGCTTTTTGCTTTATAAACTCTATCCCCAGACTCTTCTTTATATTTACCATGGGAAATGTAGGAGATTGGAGTTTGACCTTTCTCTGTGTAAAGATTGTTTCCACTTATAATAGTGGGTAATCTAGATGGTCTGTTTTTTATATTGAGTTCCATTGTCCATTCCTATGCAGCAGGAATAACATAAAAAAAATAATAACTTTGTCTCCTGGTCTCATTTAAATTTCTATTGAAGGAGAGATTGACTGAAATGTGCAGATGTTACTCTTGAGCTGGATATTTTAACCAATTTGATGTATTTTCATAATGTTGTTGTGTAAGTACACTACCGTTCAAAAGTTTGGGGTCACCCAAGTGTTTTCCATGAAAAGTCACACTTATTCACCACCATACGTTGTGAAATGAATAGAAAATAGAGTCAAGACTTTGACAAGGTTAGAAATAATGATTTGTATTTGAAATAAGATTTGTTTTACATCCAACTTTGCTTTCGTCAAAGAATCCTCCATTTGCAGCAATTACAACATTGCACCAAAAACCAGACATTTGCAGCTAGAATAGTCATTTACCACATAAGAAATGTATAGAGTGTATATCTTTACAGTTAAGACTAGTTTAAAGTTATCTACAGCTTTTCCTTCAAAAATAAGGACATTTCAATGTGACCCCAAACTTTTGAACGGTAGTGTAGGTTATTTGTTTCCAAGGCGTTCTTGGTCAGGTCTCCCTCGTAAAAGAGATTTTATCTCAAGGGACTTCCTGGTTAAATAAATAAAATAAATTGTAGAGTTTTAACATTTTTAGGCTATTTATGTTGAGCTGATAATGCAGTAGTCCTTCATGTGTTGCAAAATATCCTTCATATCCTTCAATATCATTCATTTATCCTGCCCAGTGGCTGTTAATAGACATTTTTGGTCACTCTCTCTCTGTTTATTGTCTGCACTGGAATAATCAGGTAATTAATAACATTACACACTTGTTGATATCCTTTTATAGGACAGATAATATCCTTTGATAGTCAAGACTAAACACGGGGAAGCAGCATTTCAGACAATCTTTTGTGCATAAAACTGCTGAATTGTCTCCACACTCTTTCTAATGTACTTTGATTTCTTTATATTGCATCTGTGCATTCTTTGAACACTTATTTTGTAGGACTGTAAGGTTTCTTTTCTTGTTTTATTTAGCACGTTGAGTTCCCTGGTGTATGAACTGTGCTATACAAATGACTATAATTATATGAGTAGTGCATGTCTCTCCAATGAAATAACTAGCCATCGTTTACGCAAATAAAAAGATATTTATTTTGCTTTTGAATCTCAGCACAAGCCTCAAGTTAATGTCCACATCGTCTTTGCCAAGTTGTGATTAGTTTGTACCTCCCAACGAAAAAAAACAAACATGGCCACAACTAGTCATTGTGTTGTGCAATGTGAACGAGGGAGTCTGCTCCAAACTACAGCACTGGATGATCCATCTGCATCGCGCCGCAGCCTTGTTGTCTATAATAAATCCTATTAAAGTTCATTCTCCGACGTTGATAGCATTTCCCTGCACACATTGGCACCGGTTCTGATAAAATACACAATCTAATGAGACTTACGACACACTCGCCCTGCGTCTACTAATGCCCGAACCCTGACCAAAAAACGCGGTCACTTCCTCTGCTCGGACGATGCATGAATCCATTCTCATTAGGCTTAAATCAAACATCCCTTTAAGGTAGTGATCTGTATTTTAGCGCGGGGCCACATCTGTCCTCTCCGTGTTTACCTCCGCTTGTCTGACAAAGAGAGCTTTTTAAAAAGGCCTTCTCAGCGCCTCCGGTGATGAGCAGTTCTTGTGTGGCATTGCGCTGCCTGTAAATACTCAACCCGCAGTATTAATTAATGTTTCTACCATCGCAGTCGAGAGTCACTGAGAGCTATAAACAGTGAAACCACCAGAAATAGGGACGGTATGTTTTTGTGTTATGGTGTGCATGCAAATTGGACCTAACCTTAAAAAGCAATAAATCAACCACTGGGCATTTATATGAACTGCTGCATGTGAAGGTGTTCTTGTTTGGTAATACATGATAAGAATCTGTCTAAGGGCAACAGGGTGCGGAGACCAAATGCAAAAATGAGCACGGGCCTGTTTAAGTCTATCTTCTCTGGGTGTCTCCGTGTTTATGTCTGTTTGGGACAATGGCATTATTGAGGTGCTGGGCGCCCTGGTGCCTGGTGAGCCGGAGTCTGGTCAGCGTAGGCACGTTTGAGCTGGATCGAATGACCGCTCCGGGCCTTTCAAGTGTGGTTCCCTAGCACTGGACTAAGTAACATGAATCTGAAGGCAATATAAGCAGGAACAGAGGCTGAGTGGTGTCATCTCAAAAGCTTCAGGCTCATCACAGCAGTTTCAACTGTTTGTGTGACAGCCAGGCATGAAATTATTTATATACATGTTTACAACTTTAAATTCAAAGAGTGTCGAGGAGTAGAAGAAGTCTACAGATTAATTCAAAAAACTATTCCATTACTAAATCTTTAACACAGAGGAGAAAGTGATGGGGGAAAGTGTTGGGGGAATCTTGTGTCTGTGTGTGTGTTTTGTGTTGTGTTGTATGAGTGAGGGGTTACCAATACAACTCTATTGTATTTTTTTAAATTATTCATATTATATTATAAATCATAGTCCTTTCTACTGGCCCCCATCATGCATACGTTTTTCTTTTTAAATTCACGACTGACCAGGAATTACAGAATTATAACTGACTATATATTACTGAGGTCTGACTTTTGAGCGTTACCCTAGTTACCAGTAAACTTCCCTCTACCACAATGTTTAACGCTCTATGGAATGTTGTGATGTCACATGAACACAACCCATTTGTGGTAATATTTACTAAAACATGAAATGTTTGACATTTTAACATCTCACCTCTTCAGTTTGTTCTCCTGGAAAAGCCAGAAGCCACTTTCCAGAACTGATCTCCAAAATTGCACTCTGACAAAATCCCACACTGCCGGTCCAAATTGAGTCCACAACCTCGCCGCGGCCTTCTGCGAGATCCCAGAGGCAGATCCGCATGTCTCGTCCCTGGCTACACAAAAACAACATTGCAATAAATTAATCTAAAAATGTGAGCGAGGACAATGGTATTAAATGGGCATTTGAGGCTCACCTGATAAGCTTTTGTCCTGACTGAACGGTGTCGACCCATATCACAGAGTTCCCCGAGTGTCCTTCTATGACCTTTTCAGGCCGTCGTGTTTTTAAATTCCAAATGTGGATAGAACCCTTCCCAGAACTAGAAAACACACAATGATTTATTAGATTCTTCTGCGTTGAACCATATAATTACAGTTGATTCACCTCATGCTGGACTATTAAAGGCGGTAAAAATGAAAAGGGTTGACAAAATAAATATACACATTTCCTGCATTGTAATCTTCAGGAGAGCAGCGCAAAATAGGATACTTGTCTTAAAATGTATGTTGCAAATATGTCACCCAGAATAGAGCAGAGGAGTGGTTCCTTGGCTGCAGTGGAAGTGGAGCGTGTTGAGGGGCCCCCCAGCGCCCCTCAGGGTGTAGATGGGAGTTGGAGGAGGAAGAGACATCCCAACATCAACTGCAACAGAGAAAATACAGTGAGTAATAAAGACTAAACAATGAGGAGCTTTACGGTCGTATGGTTTAAACATATGATGTGCAGTCTAGAACGACAGAAGGCGCAGCAGAGGGCTGTGACTCTGAAGATTAGGAACTACTTACACTATACTCTCATCATTATGACTTCAGCTTTAGTCTGTTCATTTCTATTCACCTTCCTTTTTGATGGTGTGATGATAAGACTCCTGAATCAGGCTTCTTTTACCTGCATCTATCTTTTGGCTATGAACTGGGTGTCCTGTGTACTGTGCAGAGAGGGGGCAATGAGGGGTCACATGCAAGTCCCCTCACTGCTGGTATGTCAAACTCAGTAACCATGAAAAATGTTCAACTATTCTAAACTTGACAACCATATAATTGAATATAATCTAAAATGTTATCACAGCACATAGTTTAAAGGTAAATAGTCATATATATGTATTTTTTTAAAAAGGTCACAAATGTAAAACACTGATGAGACTGGTGATTTATGCAGATATCTGTATAATTAATATGAAAATACTGAAGTTTGTGCAAAATATGAAACACCAAAGTAAATAAATGACTGTTTCTAATTTACAGTCTATCTCTGAGTATTGTTATAAAAGCCTGTGGCTGTTGGAGACACAGTTTCTCTTCCTACTCAAAAGTCTTGATAATACCTCTTACTCAATACATGATAAATCACATCCACTGACAGCTTAATTACAGTAAACAGTGGCAGATTCAGGCTTCTCACTCCTCCTGTGATCAACAGCCGTTGTCCCAGAGGCACAGGTAACAGATCAGGCTTTTATGTTGTTTGTAGACTGAGGAAACCCAAGCGACCGCAGGCATGCAGTAAGGAAATAATGCATCATCACTAAAACACTGCTCTGGCAACATGGCGGACTGGCTCCGACTTCAGCTACACAACATGTATCTCTTCTTGTCATCACTCGGATGTAAATCAAAGGAAAATAATAATGATGGAAATGATTTACTGTATAACACCTCTCGTGACACCCAAAGTACTTTATTCATTTGCTCTAAACACAATGCTGATCAGCTAATAGTCTAGCGACAGTCGCCCTGGGGCAGACTGACAGAATCTTTGACCAACACCGATCAGTCACGCACACACCTGACCTAAGCACACAACCGCAATAGAGCTTCCCATCCTGGTACTCACTTGACCCTGACTGAGCTTCTGAGATATTCTGAGAAGCCGATTGATCCAAAAGTATTCAGGACAAAACTTCTGACAATTTGAAGTATGATTTGAATTCGTGTCAGAGGCTATGTTTGTGTGTGTGAAAAAAGTGAAATACTGTTATTACGATTATAATCCATCCACAAAATGGAGTAAATGCAAAACACATTTTAAAGCAATCATTACTAGCAACACATCCATGATTCACCACTTGTTTGAGAAGAGAAGGGCTTCCTAGTTAATTTATTTCACTAAGTCATTTTCCTTTTACTAATGAATAAATTAATGTTACCAAGTACTATTAGGTACAATATTACAGCTTTGACCTGTCCTGCTCCACCCAGCGGCTACACCATCTCTGCTGACACCTGATATTCTCCAACAAGGAATCAATAAAATATCTTATCTGCCTTTTTATCTATTGAACTGAACTTATGAAATATTCCTCATTCATTATTTGTTTTCACTTATCGTGACGTCTCCTCCATCAGGTCTGGACTGTGAAACCGGAGCCTGAGGTATTCAGGAGCAGCTCATTTTCAGAAGGTTAGTGGTTAAATTGTCCATGTGAATCTGTGGAGCGGAGAGACAGAGCGGACCGGCCTGCCTAATTAAAGACACCACCACAAGCGCGCAGACTGAGACGCTCACTCATGCAGCCCGGCAGAACAACCGCTCACAGAGGAGGCTTCAGCACCAGCCTTCTGATAAATATGTATGATTTATATTTTATTGGGTTTTTATTTATTTATTTGTTTGAATTGTTTTTTTTGTTTATTGAGGAATCACAATCTGTACCTGAATTTTTTTAATCTGTCAGCTTGTATGACATTTTTTCCAAACACTGCAAAAATAAATAAACATAAAGTTACAAATTTAGCAGTATGGAAAAATAATCAAATCAAGAATAACATTTAAGAGCATTTAAGTATTATTCCCAAAAGAGATTTCAGTGATAAATAATAATCATTAAAGGAACCCCACTGTCTCACTATTCAAACCATTTTGATGATTGATGAGAGATTTTTTTACACATTTGACCAAAACAAAGCTCAAGTAACGCCGCGAAAACATACAGATGAGTTGTTATTGGGTTGTTTGGCTAAAAATACTTTGCCGATTGAAATGAAAATGTCTTTCCCGTCATAACAGATTTTTTTGAGTAAATAAAACCGTAGAAAGTTCAAGTCCATGGCTCCCCTTTTCCGTGTATTACTGTTAATGGATATTGTTTATTTTTTGTTGAATGTTTATACGCAGGTTTGCATAAATCTATAACATTTATTTTCTTAACTGTCGATCAAACAAACAAATCTTGATCACTAAATTAGTTGACAACTTTTTCAATAATCGATGAGTTGTGATTAATTGATTAACTTGTTAGTAGGCGCCATATTTATCTTTTCCACCTTCAGAAATCACAACGCTACCCAAAATTGACAAGTACATAAAAGCAGCATTAGCAGACTTCCAAAGACGCAGAACATAGCTTCTTTTTGACACATTTATCAGATATATCACAAGAAATTCCACAGAACAGAGAGCTTCCCAATCACTAACCGTACGAACTCGTTGTGTGGTATGAGGAAACATGTCCCAAAAATACATTGTGTTTTTAGTGTATGGTCTATGCACTGGTAAAGAGTGGGTAAGGCTGCATTCCTCAGACGTTCGGACTGCTGCGAGTGAATGCGGGGGAGGCTTGCTCTGATAACAGGTGGATTTAGGCGCTCTCATTGTCCTTCTTTAGTCGACCACAGAAACCCCTGTGACTCATGCAAACAGGACAAAAAACTGTCTATATCCACGGTCTGCACTCTGAGATTATCCATTGCGAGGCGAAGCTTAACGTCACTCAAACCAAACCAGTTCAGGACAAAGCTGGACCTAAAATCAGCAGACACGATGTTAGCTGCCTCTGTTGGTGTTTCAAAGGTCTTGACGCAGAGACTGAATAGCAGATATTTTTTAACACTTTTTTAACACTTTTTAACAAGAGAATATAATAACATTTTAGATCTGGAAATGGGGAAAGAACGTGTTTGTTTGTTTTACTATGGATAGAAAAATGTGCAAATATTACGAGTACACTGTTTTGGGGAGATACATGAAGCGTGCAGAAATCAATCAGATACATTACAGTTAAACTACAGTATAGCACAATCAATGTTTCAGGAATAAGAATATATTGCAAAAAATAGTGATGAAATGCTTGAATGTTGTCTTTGACTGAAAATATCGTATTGTTGAAGATTTGTCAATGGAAGTTGGAACAAACCCACTAAGACTAAAATGCAACTGTGCGTGATACAAGGTCCCTATGTCAAATATTCAGATATAAAACAGACAATTTTCCTTAAATCATGCTCTTTTACGTCTTTGTATGAACTTTTTTTGTTGTTGCAAATAACATAAATAATTGCAGTCTTTGCAATGTGTTAATTTAAACCACAACAAATGTAATTTCATTTGATTGATTTATCATGCAGGCCGAGTAGATATGCATCTAACAAGTCAAAATATAGATGAAAGACCATTGGTAGAGTGTGATTATTGAGACTCTTGTTTTGATTGTAATTAAAGTGAACAAATATAATCAGACAAAGTGATCACCCAATAATGAGATAGTTGTGATGCATTTTTATCCCAGATTGCCAACCCTAATTACTCGAGTCCACACTAACATGACTAATGACTCCACAAACCATTACTGCTACAAATCTAAGCTCCTCTCTCCTTTCGCTACATCCTGAGCTCGTTTCTTGTTATCTCAAAGTCAGTCCTGGAAGTGGCAACAACAATAGGTTATGCTGCTGTGGTGCCAGCTCCAGACACTCGGCACGCCAAGTGTAACTGTAAACAAACAAGATGGAGGCCGCTTGTCACTCCAATCTGTTTACATGGATGCTAGAATTGTTCTGTGGCAGCCCAAAGTGACAGCAGAGCAAATATTTGAAACAGGAAGACATTAGGTCAGATAATTACAAGTAGCTCTTTCCTTGAGAAGATAACATGGTCAGAATGACAATAATTGTGTATTTGACAAATAGACAGTTTTGAGAGAAAAAATAATTCAAACGAGGATAGTCATATATAATTAACAGATGTTTCTAATAAGATGAAGACTGCATGTCATGTTGAGGTCTGGTGCCACTGATGCTACTGCATCAAAGCACGATACTGTACAGACAATAAATACTGAGCCCCAAAATATATTGTCTAACAAAGCCCACCTGGGAGGGGGATGCAGGCTTGGATGTACTGAGGCTGTAGAGTCAAGCCTCTGGAGATTCGATCTACAGCGTCAGTCCTGAATCTACAGTCACAGTCCTGGGTCTAGAGCCTCAGTCCTGGGTCTAGAGCCTCAGTCCTGGGTCTAGAGCCTCAGTCCTGGGTCTAGAGCCTCAGTCCTGGATCTACAGCCTCAGTCCTTGATCTACAGCCTCAGTCCTGGAGCTACAGCCTCAGTCCTGGATCTACAGCCTCAGTCCTGGATCTACAGCCTCAGTCCTTGATCTACAGCCTCAGTCCTTGATCTACAGCCTCAGTCCTGGATCTACAGCCTCAGTCCTGGATCTACAGCCTCAGTCCTGGATCTACAGCCTCAGTCCTGGATCTACAGCCTCAGTCCTGGATCTACCGCCTATCCGTCTGTGGGAGCAGATCCCTCCAATTGGGAATCGAGATGTTCCTTGACTATGCAGGAGGGTCAAAGGACAGTGATGATTCAGTACATTTACGCATTTTTTTCTTTGCATTTATGGACAATGGTCACCCCACTCCCTATAGCCAACCTCCAGTTCCTGTAAATGTGCATGAACTGTACATTTTACCTGTCATGATTGTTATAACTTGAAAATAGAGAACAAGTTTATTGACAACATGGTTCACCATCGATGAGTGGTAAAAAACACTTCTTTGTGTTTAGGATCTCTGAATTATGGTCAAAATAATGACATCTCTGCCAGGTGGTGTAAACGTTCAACCAAACAGTGGTAATTATCGTGACAGCCAGGCCTTTCAAAAGAAAGTATAAAATGGATTAAATTAGAATATTGTTGAAAAGTCCATTTCATTCTGTAATTCAACTTACAATGTGAAACTATGATCTGTCTATGCCTTTCTCATTACACGTAAAGTGGCATCTATCGAGCCTTTATTTGTTATGATGTTGATAATTGGCTTAAAGATTCCAAAAACCCCAATAAACCACATTTTTGACTTGGCATGTGTCGCTTTGCATGTAATGATGATTATATCAAATATTGGTTTCACATTTCAAGTTGAAGTACAGACATAAATGAGCTTTTGAGTTTCACCTGCTTCCCCAGTCAAAAACTGTAGAGTAACAAGCTAATAAAGGCCGTGACAGGTCATAATAAATCAGGCAGCCCGGCTCATACCTGCAGGAACAGGAGCCAGTGGGAAGAGGCTGGAGTGGAGGGCCGCGGCTCCCGTTGGCCCTGAAACAGATAAGACAGCTCTGTGTAATATGACTCTAAGTCCATGGATAAAGGCAGTTTGTCTGTTCTTGGGCCGTCTGTCCACACCTCCTGCGTAATTAGGCCTAATTATGAGAGAAAGGTCCGCTTCCCCTTCATGTTATTAAATAAGAGCCAACCCGGTCCGCCAAGCATCTCTCAACACCGGCAAGGGGCTGGCGACCTTCAGATCAAACGTGCCCCACTATCTGTACGGCCCACCTCAGCATCACCGCACATGCGAGAGGGAGGGAGGAGACTTATGATATGTGCCATCAAATGTTACAGCAGGTTGGAACGAGAGGGCGGGGGGGGGGGGGGGGGGGGGGGGCTGTCCAAATTCCTCAATCCGTATCATGTGATCAACAGCAACCCCACCTGAGCAGCTCCCTGTCAAATTTGGCCATTCATAAATAAGACATAGAGGATACGCTGATCACAGGGGGTTTATTATAGAAACGTTATAATGCCTGCCTTTACACAAGAGCCATTATACGGCATAGGAACCCAAGATCTTGTGATATCGGAGTGGTTGAATATGAGATCTGAGCTGCGTGATGAAAAGCGAAAAGCAGATTACGAGTAACTTATAAGCATGCGGTCGAGATACCCTTCACAGCGAGGGACGCGTTTTAAACCTAGAGAAACGAATGTTAATCCGGGCTGTAAGAAAACGGCATTTTCTGTTCTCCTCGTATAAGCCTAATAAAAAGGCATGTGCAGCCGTCATCGCAATGTTATAAAGGCCATTTATGATATCATTAAACTTGTAATACATCAAATCTAGAATATACCACTGTAGTCCATCAGTCACCATTGATGATATCCGAATACTGTTTATCTGCAATTTTGTGGAACGTTCTGTTTATCTGGAATCTTCTTCATTTCAGATTGTTTTGTTTGAAACGTGAAAATTTGATTGTACAGGGTTTGGGTGTACACAGTAGAAGCGTCTTGGATAAGCTATAATAAATCTAATAAAAAATATTATACTTGCATCCATCCATCGCAAATTAAAATATACTCTCTACACTCTAACTCTAAGCCTGAAGTGTCAAATATTGACTCACATAGCTCTTCCCTAAAGAGTTTTGTCAGAAAGTTTACAATAGGGCTTATTCTTACATCAATTATTACCTTTAACTAATCAAGCATGTAAAGTGTGAAGCAACAAAAGGGGCAGATATTATAAGACTTGTTCTTCTCCTCTGCTCCGTTTCATTCATGCTATGTTGGATTGGCGGTCTTGTGGTGATTGCATGATGTCACTTTTGAATGAATGAAATAAATAATAAAATACAATACAAAGTCATTTATTAAATTGTTTTAGTTGCATAATTAATATGCATTTCAGGAAAACTACAATATCAAAAATAAAATCAGCCTAATTTATTATATTATGTAGAGACTTCAGAGCACTTTTGGGACAAACAAGTCACAAGGCCATTTTTTGTTCTTCAGAAATGTTATTTGTAGGAAAAAATTGAAAAAGAAAACTAAAATCAATAAAAGAAATGTGGGAAGCCAGGTCACAGTATAGAAAGTATCCTTGGCATGAATGTTTTGTGCACTCCTCATCCAACACTGGCATTTTATCATTTTCTGCTACATACAGCTAAAAGATTCGATCCAGCCCTAATTTCCAATTTACATTTGAAAGGGAAATATTATTAGCAAAATTTTCAGGAGAAATTTTGTGCTCCAGTGTAAAGCTTGAATCTGCATCTATGGACAAATCTGACCTCGCTCACGGTGGAGGAAGCGCTTGTGCTGAAAGCGGACCTGCTCCATTATTAAAGTCTAGTAAGACAAACAAAGTGGGAAGTGTGGAGGACTACACCACACGCCCTTTATTGTGTCTTTTAGCGGTGGTGTCGGGACTGGACAAACAGCCCACGTCAGATACAGACTCGAGTCGGACAAGAGCACCAACACCCACTGTCAGTCACAGGCCCAGTGAGCGGGAAGACGTGGCATTGTTCCTGTGAATGGCGTGAATGCTAAGCAGGGGCTGGGGCTGATAAGGAGTGAAGGGCTTGTGGGTGTCATTGAGGCAGTCCCTGATGGAGGACCATGTCAGCAACTTCTGCTTTAAGACCTCCTGAAGCCTTATCTGTTTGCTCTATCGCCCATTTCCTCCATAGGGTCATCTACCTGGACACTCCTGGATAAAGAGACACAAGAGGGTTGACAGCATCTTGTCACATACATCAGCAGGGATCTTATGTGAGATTTGGGCGTTGGCAACAAATATGAGAATAAGTCAAGGTTATGATTACAACAGGATGCAACAAACAACTAGAATGATGCAAGGGTTAGTAGTGAGTGACAGAAGAAAGACAGGGAAATAAGTCACAAACTGTTGACATGGCTGATATGCCGTGTCGTAAAAGTTAATTACTGGCAATAAAAGAGATTAACCCACAATTCAATCTTATTAACAATTGTAATCAACAATTATCTTGAAAATTGATGAGTTGTTTTGATCCCGAAAGGTCAGAGAATATGGTATTTTTGTATATGTTTGGCCAAAAGTGATCATCTGATTCTTTATCGATTCATAATAATGTAATGTCCATATTGTCCATACATGTATGGACAGTTATCAAAACGTGTTCTATATTCTTTTTGTGTCTTAACTGTTGATTCTCTGATCTGTGCTGTTGTGATTTATGGCTTTAAAAGAATAAATTGTATTGTATTGTCATAAAAACTTTCCCAGCATCTTTACTTCTACCTACCTAGTCTACCTTTTTCACTCTAAGATGTGGTGCAATCAAAGAAGTACAAAAAATCTAGTTTTGATTCACTTAATTCATATAGCATAAATGACACAGACATGACCAACTTAAATAAATAACATGTAATATAAGAACTCTAAATAGAACGAATAAATAAATAAAATAACAATATACATAAGTTCTAATAGTAAATACAATTCTAATTTAAACTGAATTAAAAGACAAAACACCACACCAGACAATTCACGCAGTACTAAAAGCCAGAGAATCAAAGTAGAAACTTAAACTAATATTGAGAACAATGCAAATACCATGTCTTAAATGGTCCTTTTTGTATATTTTTTAGTAGACTAACTAAGGCTGTATCCGAATGTCCACACTACACCCTACATAGTGAGTGAGTGGATGGGGTATAGTGTGGACGTTCGGGTACAGCCTATGACGTTACGCACACCACAGCTATGAACATAGGTCCAATGTTGTCATCAGTTTGATGAAGCCTTTTAGCACAGAGCTAACATCACTTTAGCTAAACACCACTTTATTGTAAACAATGTTTCCGTGTGATTGTTGTCATGAATGTTGATGAATTATAAAATGTGAAATACCAAGTGTCTCAGAGGGAACGCCTCTGAATGTGGTCTGAAGTGGATGTTTTCATCAGCCTCATTCTCTCGTGCTTCTGCTCAGAGCAAAAACAAAACATGCGCCGCTGAGAAAGGACCCCAGGGTGACGGCTTTAGAGGTCCTTTCAAGATGCCTGTACAGAAATTCACAGTCTCATTATTACTGTAAAATCATAGCAACTGCGCCAATATGAGAATCATTTGCGCAAAGTTTACACCTTTCTTTCTTCCTCACACTTTTTCTCTAGTTAGTAAAACTGCCTAAATCGCTAAAGCCAGTTACAAATTAGTATTGTGTGGCAAGTTACTTTGAAACAAAAAAAAGTGATGTATTAATAAATCAATACTTACTTATACTACCATTATAGTATATAGTTGCAGTTTCAAGAAAGTTTAAATCTACTTTTTAAGTAAGTAAGTAACGTGCTTCACTAAGTATTTATATAGAACTTATATTTATATTGAATTGTAACCGAGTTACACAATGGATCAAACAATGGACAACCTTATTTCTTGAGTTGCTACTATTGGCATTTCCTTCAGTTAAATTTCATATAATTAAAATGCAGACTAGTCTTTGTGATGAAAAAATATGTGTACTTTTATATATATACTTATATATTATTTATAATAGACTACTTCTACGTCATGGTGCTACGTCCCTTAGCGGACTTCGCTAGTGGGATATCACGTGACCCCCAGGTCACAGACGCCAGAGAGATCAACAAAAAATGCTCCAATCACTAGCGAGCCTCCTCTATAAAGGCCCCTGCTCCATAGCCGCGCCCCCTCATTCACTCTGGCGCCGATTGAGATCTACCACAGTACTTACTTCATTCTGAGATGTCTTCCGTTGTTCGTCCGAGTTCCCCTTCGCCCTCCGGCGTCGGACGTCGTCGCTGCTCGGCGTGTCGGGTCAGGCTCCAGCGCACGGACCAGCATGCCAGCTGCTTCATGTGCCTGGGTCCGGGCCATGCGGCGTTGAGCGCTAGCTGCGCCTCGTGTCTCGCTCTCCCCAGGGAGGAGAGCGAACGCAGGCGCGCGTTCTTCGCCGCTGCAGCGCCCCGTCCGGACTCCTCTCAGGACGAGGAGTCTGAGATTGACTGGGCCCCACTCGACCTTCCGCCCGTACCCGCGGAATGGGGTGACTGCAAGGATGGAGAGGCTTCGGAGATCGGCTCTCTCCTCACTCTGGACGAGGTGGTGTCGAACCCGGAGCCGGACCGCTTTCCGCTGGACCACATGCCTGGGCTCTACTCCTCCGCGGCGGCCATCATGGATGCTCCTCTACCACCGCAGCCGATCCAGAGGGTGGAGGACTTCACCTCTGTGGGCGCCACCACTCGAGGGAGGAGGAGGATACAACCCACGTTGTGCCCGCGGATGGACCCGATCGTCCATTACGCGACACGTGAGTGGCCAAAGCCCCTAGCAGCCAAGAGGCCTGCTCTGGGGTACGGCATGTACTGCAGCGTGCAGGACTGGTCCTGGACCGGTGGTGTCCCGGACATCGAGGACTCAGTCCGCGTGGCCCTGCAGCCCTCCGCATCCGTGTGGACCGGCACCAGACCTCTCCTTCCCTCCGAGCGGGACAGGATGTCTTGGCGATGCTGGATAGATGTTATGCCAATGCGGCACAGGTCGTCGCATTGGCTAACAACATGGCATTCATCACGGGGGCCCTGGATAGGTCGCTCTCCTCTGGCCAGGCGCTCAGTGGAGACCTCCTATCACAGGCGAGGACCACCTCGGCGGCGATCCTGCGCATGTGCCAGGCGCTAGCCGTGGATGGTGGCCGCTCCATGGCTGCAGCCCAAGTTGGGGCCAGGCACCTTTGGCTTGGGCTGGCTAACATCAGGGAGGCGGAGAAGAGGCAGCTGCTGGACCTGCCTGTTTCCCAGACGTCCCTCTTCGGCCCGGACATGCAGGCCCTGGTGGCGAGACTGGAGTCTGCAGCTAAGAACTCGGCTAGGCTAGCCCCGCACCTAGCACCGAGGCGCGAGGTCCACCAGCCATCACGGAGCCGGGACAGAGGCAGAGAGCGTTCGCCCGGGAGGCGTCCTGACCCGTATCTGCGCTCTGTTGTCCATCGTCCCCCCTCGACGAGGCCCCCGGGTCCAGACAGATCCACGGGTGGCTCGCGGGAGCAACGCACCCACCGCCGGCCTCCCTATGGTAGAGGAGGCCGGGGTGGCAAGAATTCTTTCAATAAAGGCCGACCGGCATTTCATCAGTACTCGTTGTCTGAGTCTCATTTGGGGGTACGTAACATGTCTAATGTGTCTGATTGTGTTACTTCCCGAGCCCATAACGTTGCTTCGCTTGGCCTGCAGCCCCCAGAGCAGGGTGTGCAGTGCGCTACGCGAGCTACGAGCTCCGGTTCTCTGGTTCATGCTATGCCCTCCCAGAGAGAGGTCAGGCGGAGGGATCTGGTGAGCAGAGGTGTGTGTGCTTCGGCCGAACGCGTGTTCGGCCGAAGCTTATGACGTCAGGCCCGTACTTATGACGTCGGGCCTGCAGGACACGTGACCGCCCCCGGCGCTCACGGTATGACGCAGGGGGCCCCCATGCCCTTTCGCCCACCCCCCCTCCCTGCTAAAAACACCAGGAGAGGGCGGGGCTGTGACGTCTCGTGTTCCAGCTCCCGTTCCGCCCCTCAAAGACTTCTACAGCATCTGGAGGGAGCAGGGCTTATTGACGGATCCGTGGCTGGAGAAGACATTGCGCACTGCAATTCTCCCGAAAGCCACCGCCGTTCCGGGGCGTGCGGGCAACGCGCTCTCAGGTACGGGGATCGCTAGTGGAACTACAAGCGGAGGTCTCCTCTCTGCTAAGTCGAGGCGCAGCAGTAGAGGTGGACCCACAGGACGCCGCCAGGGGGCTCTACTCCCCTTACTTCTTAGTGCCAAAGAAGTCAGGAGGGGTGCGTCCCATTCTGGATCTGCGCACTTTGAACGAGTGCATTTCCAAACGGCAGTTTCGGATGCTGTCCACAAAACAGCTCCTCGAGTGTGTCAGGCAGGGAGATTGGATGTCCTCCATAGACCTGACAGACGCTTACTTTCACGTGCCGATAGTTCCGGAACACAGGAGGTTCCTGCGCTTCGCAGTGGGAGAGGAGTTACGAGTACTGCCGTCTCCCCTTCGGCTACACGCTCGCGTCTCGGACCTTCTCAAAGTGCGTGGAGGCGGCACTGGAGCCGCTCAGACGCGCGGGGGTAAGAATATTAACCTACATAGACGATTGGTTAATACTGGCCTCATCCAGGGAAGTGGCCGTGAGTCACACGCACTGGGTCCTGTCCCACATACAGCGCCTGGGCTTTGTGGTGAACAGGGAGAAAAGCAGGCTGCAACCGGCTCAGCGCATGATCTATCTCCTACCTCCTGTCCCTGAGGGTAGCGCCACGTCCCGGGTGCCCGG